GGCAGATGAAATGACACACGCAAATGGCTCTAGACTAAAACTGTCATGAACCTGTACGTGCCCCGTCTCCCTCCTCAAACATAAACAAGATAAATGAGAAAATTCAATTGATTCATATAACACATATAATTTTTCTGGTGGAGGATCTGCCATCTGCTTGTCTCCATGGAGATGTTATTGCTTTTCCTAGCATGTATGGCATTAAAATGATCTCTATAGTAGCAGCTCTCAATAAGGTGGTATTTTTATCCCTCTAGCAATTAACACTTCTAATTGAATAGATGCAAGATAGAGTAGTTTAATGTCATATTGTGGAAACTTCCAGGCAAAGTAATAACATCTCCAAGGAGACAAGCATGCGATGAACTCTTTCTCACTGAAAAAGTTACACACTGAACCTGAAAAAAGTATGTAAAAGTACAGTATGTCGTGGTAATTTTTAAGTCTTTAGATAAGTGACCCTTAAAAAATAAAAAGGAAGTGCAAAAATACAGATTGATTCCTATGATACACTTCTTTTTTCTATCACCACTTCCTCGTCTGTTCTCACTAACCTTGGAAAATGTTAGAAGGTGATATGATTCTGGCGTTTGCTTTTCTGACTTTCATTTTCATCTCATGAGCACACACTCACAGCAGAGGCCAATTCTAAAGGTGTGACTGCTCATCCATAACTCAAGGACTCCACAAAGCTCAACATTTCACCTTTCATTGAAAACTTTATACACATTTTAACCGTTTCTTACTTTCAAATAGGCCTGCAATGATAAGAAAATTTGAAGTACGATACATAGAGCTGGGTATCACTAAGAGGTTGGCGATACGATACATATCTTGATACAGTGAGCTCTCAGTTTGATACAAAATATTTCAAACTGATTCAATACAGTTCAATAAAAAATAAAGGCTAAATATGGCTATGATACTAAAAGTCTTTGTTAGACCTCTTCTTGTGCAAAGTTAATATGAAACATACATTTTACTAATCAAAACAGTGAAAATGTCAGATGTTTTGTATAAACAAGTTTCCTTCCACTAAACAAGCAACAAAACTGTAATGCTGTATCAAAATATTTCACTAAAATAGACCAAAAAATACTCTTGGTGATATTTCGATACAGCAGCCCACAATATTGATACTGTATAATCACATAAACGATACGATATATATTGATATTTGGATATTTTTGCCCACCCCTAAAAATATATATTGCTGGCAAAAATTAAGACAATAAATTGTAATATTGAAATAAATTTGCTGCTGACACAAAAACCCTAAACCAGGATTATCCCAATAAATATTAACATACAATATTGTTAAAAACAGCAATAAATAAACAGCATAATGAAACACTTTGGTAGTTTGTTTGTATCTATAATGAGTCATAGGAGTTTTGTATTTGGTCCCCTAAAGCTCAAATCTTATTATAGTACAGAATAATAACAAAAAGTTTCATTAGTACAATGATAAACTACCCTTGATAAATACTAACACCCCCTGCCCTCATATTAATCATATATTGAACAAAAACAGTATTTTAGGCCTACCCAAAATATTCTCATTTAGTCCAACATATCAGACCAATCCTTGCATCCTTGGCACTGGCTTCCTGTCAGATTAAGAAGTGATTTTAAGATTTTATAGTTTGTTTTTAAAGCTTTGAATGGACGGGCCCCACAATACATCTCAGATTTCATCCAGATTTACACCCCTGCATACGCTCTGAGGTCCTAGGGCCAGCTCCATGGTGTCTAAAACCAGACTTAAAACCAAGGGGGACAGGGCCTTCTCCGTCATCGGCCCTAAGCTCTGGAACACTCTGGTCCCCCGTTATTTTATTTAGTTTTATTTTATTTAGTTTTATTTTATTTTGGTTTATTTTTTATTTAACTTTATTTTATTTTATTTTATAATTTATTTTTTATTTAATTTTTTTTAATTTTTTTTGTATTATAATTTTTTTTGCATAATTTTTAGCTTTATGCATTTTAACACTTTATTTAATGTTTTTCTTTATGATTTACTGTCTTTTATTGTATTAATTTGTCTGTGTAGCACTTGTCATGTTTATAAAATGTGCTATGGATTGGACTGAACTCGATTTTACCGTAGACCAATTGGTTCTAAACATCTCAAATCAACCTGAAAATTCTCTCGCCATTTCCCCCCCCTCCAATGCAGCCCCCGTTTCCAGGCAACCGCATTCTATAACCACATTCTGGAATCATCGCTGGCCTAATCAAACCAACGAGGAGCCGCAGCGACGGCGCCACTGCGCTCTAGACGAACTAAAAACGGTTGCTATAGATGCCGTGTGACAGATTGGAGAGGTTTAGGGCACAGAAAGATGATTTGATGCTCGGCAGATTGCTGTGTTAAATAACGGGGGGTGGGAGGGCACTACAGACTAAATAATGCAGGGGAAAACTTATCTAACGCGTGGATAAAAGTGTGTTAGTGAAAGTAGGGCACGTCGAGTAACATGGCATTCGTACAACAGCTTGTGGCTATAAATGAGGTGTGGTTTGATAAGGGCAAATCTATACAGGGCAAATTATGGCAGCTAAGGTGTGTTATATAAAAAGGTAATTCAGGGTTCACTTATGAAAAAATATTGGCTGCCAAAACTATAGGACTACACAGGGTGAATAAATTAGACCTGTAAAACTCAAACTGAATGATTAATAGGGGTGTAAAAAAAGACAAATTCAGTGATATGTCTCGATACTCGATACGCAATTCAAAATGTGGTCTGAATCGATTTTTTATGAAAAATTCAGAAGTTCAATTTAATGTACTCATGTTTTCAAAATTAAATAAATTGTATTTCGCTCAATTTTGGTCTCGTGAATGTGTACTCCACCAAAATATTATACATAATTATTGATAAGTCACGATATATTGTCCTTTAGTATCAGGATATATAGGGGTATACTGAATCGTGAGAGACATATCATGATGTGTGAATTATTACCATCATAATCCCAAGAATTCAAGTAAAAAAACATATTTCTTCATGTTGTTTGTACTGAAATGAATCATGGGATATGTAGTTCCCAATGTTTATTAGCTATTTCTACAACAAAAATGCATTCAAGCAAAGGAACCTGCAATTCGATAGATTGTGATGCCCCACGGTATTCTTGTGAGACTTTTGAAGATACGATATCACCATATTTTGGTTATTGTTACATCCCTTCTAATGATTAATGTTCCAAATGTATTCATGTAAGTGTTTTGTGTTGCTTTTTTGTATGAAAAGCACTCTATAAATAAAGGTTGATTGATTGTGTTTATATTATGATTTAAAGATGCACTATGTAACTTCTGTCGCCTGCTGGTCTCCATGGGGATGTTATTGTGTTGTCTAGAATGCTACAGTATGGCATTAACCTAATCTGTTTGTCTTTAACAACAGGCTTTTTTGTTGCTAGAAAATACCTTGTAAGTATAATGAGATCTGGAAGATGAACCAGAGATGGCGTGTTATGTGTTTCAATGGCGTGTGGCCAAAATCACTTTTTCTTTCACATTTACTTCCTCAATAGGAGCTGGCACCTTCCAACATGTGACGACAAAAATGTGCACGAGTCTGTGCAATACCGCTAGAGCCCTTGTCATGTTTGTAAAGTTTAATTTCAATCTACACTGTCAACCAGAAGTTTGGACTCACTCTCTCATTCAATGTTTTTTTTATTTTTTTTATTTCTACTACTTTCTACATTTGATATACACACAGAAAACATCAAATATATGAAACAAGATCTATGGAATTATGTAGCAATGAAAAAAGTTAAATAACTACTACATTAAAAATATATATGTTCCTCAAACCAAAACCAAAACCAAAACTACCCACCTTTTGATTTGTCGAAAATGTTTTAGAAGTATTTAAGTTTTTTTTCTTTACTAAATAATTCTATATATCTGGCTTCATATGTACTAAGGCCCAAGCTAAAAGATGATCCAATAGATGTCTGTCTAGTTTGCAACTAAAGCTTGTACAGAAACATTACCAGTATAAAAAGGGGAGGGTGGAAAAAAATGTCACTGGAAAATTTTATGCATTGTCTGGTTAAAACAGCTTCTTTGTCCATTGTTCTTTTTTAAGATTTAAAAGATTGCCTGTCAAACAGTGGGTGGAACCATGCTATTGCTTATTGCCAGAAATATTGAGTCTATTGCCTAATCTATGAAATCTAGATGACAATTTATGTCTTTTCTTGCAGAAGTATGACCGTTATAGTTGAATGACAGTGCACGGGCGTGGCAGGATTAGCAGGATCCTGACTTTTAAATGGATTATGGGGGGGAGGTAGAGTGGTATTCTGACACAAGAGCTTTGATGTTGAGGAAATAAGGAGACCATAACTCGAGTTTTAAGGACAAATGTGGTCCCATTTTCCAAAGCTCTACATTTACATATATATTGCATCAGAGGTTCAATACGCAAGTACTTTCCCCCCCTTTTTATATCTTCCAAATGTATTCAGTCTGGGTTGCCACAGTAAACAAGTTAAATGTTTTAGTTTAATACACAAACCTTGCATATTTAGGCCGGGTTCTTCTCTCAAACAGAAAACACCTTGTGATGTCTTGTGGTAATAAAATAAATGCTCCACTGTGTTTTTAAACTCCATACAGTGGAATCTTAAGGATGATTTCAGACCTGGAATTGCCAATCTCTGCTGAATTTAAAGTAGAAAATGACTTTTAACTTGGAAACTACCACTTCAAGACATCACAAGGAGAAACAGATCATTTTGAGCTTTGGAAATGAGAGATTTGAACCGGCAATATGCTGATTTTTGAACACTCACTGCACCACAAAAAAAATCACATTATGAAAAAGAAAATGTATCATTCCATGTTAAAAGAAAAATGGAGAGGGATATGTTGTAGAGAGTTATAATGTAACTACTAAACAACTGAAGTATTTTGACATGAAACAAAAATATTCCTTATACAATGCTCATTAACAGACTTGTTATTATACATACCTTGATGTCCCAGTCTTTGTTTAGGTAGTATATGCAGGTTACGCAGCGGCCGTCACCGTTCGGATTGTCCACATGACGAACATACCCTGTGCCGTTTCCCGGGTAACACGCAACCATCGCCTGGAAAAAGAAACATTTTGGACTATTAATTACACTGCTAGACACTTAATATAGCACTGCACACACAGAATAGACAGTATTCACAATCTGATGAAATAAAAATTAACATAGCAAAGGCATTTTAATTAATTTCTATATGTATTGAATTTTAACAAACTTAGTGTCTTGCTTCTTTGGTTTTGCTTCACACATGGACACACGAAGCTGGCAAACAAACAAACACAAAAATGCTTAATGCAATACATGATATTACATTGATATAACATGTAATTTATCATATTATGGAGGCTTAACTTTACAAAACAACTGTCTTGTTCCTTGAACTATATGCCTTTTGCACTATTTACCAGTATTATTTATTTAAACACATGGGAGTGAGAAACACAATTTCAAAGAAGAATTTACTTCATTGAACTTCTGAACTTAAAGTTTAACCAAAACACTAAAATATTTTCAGTTTAAACATGAGGCTGTCAATACTAGTACGCTAATGGACATTTGTTAAGTTGTCTAGAAGTGTGTTGCACTACAGTACATGTTTAAAGAATTGGACCAAAATATAAACCAGTACATTGTATAGGCCTCGTTTATGATGCAGTCCAGCCATAGAGTGCCAAAATTCACTGTACCATTTGGGAATGGTACAGTGAAACAAACTGAAAATTGGTAATCATATAATGTAGATACTATACTTCTGTTCAAAAAGCCAAAAGGTAAAGGGAGGTTCTAGTATTTGTTCTGAAACCAAGTAATATTGCTTTTGCTATAATGCTATAATACATTGAAGATAGTGCTTAAAATGGTGAATTAAACAGTACTTTCTAGTCCACAGCATGTTTCTGGCTGTCGACGCTGGATTTTGGCACATCCACATTGTATTGTCTTCCTCTCACCTTCCTCAAAGCAAGGCTTACAGCACAGCTGTCCCATTATAAACTTTACACTACAGAGAAACTACAGAGTTATCATGCTGCACGTCCACTTCCCATCATTCTCTCTTGTCCCATTAAGACCCCCATGATCCTTTGGCTGTTGGCACTGAACCCCTATGCGCTCCTGTAAACCACTGAGTAAACAGCTCGCCGATCCCCCCGGAGGATGGGAGGCACAAGTGGGGACAAGCACGGCGCCTTGAGGAGTCACAGACACTTTTACAAAGAAACTATCACAACTTTATCAACCGACACTTGCTACTGCTTGTGCTCGACTTCAGGCCCATAGAGGAAGCTTAAGTGCCTGCACAAATGAGTTCATGCCCTCATACATTTGAGCTGTGATATTGCAAACAAAGAGGCTACAGTGTGAAGACAGTATCAGCATTACTATTTACATAAACCAACCTTGACACAAATTATTGCATTCCATATCTGCAAAAGTGCAATACACATGAAATCTAAAAAAATGTAAATATATTTTTCAGTCATAGCTACAGGAAATGCATATAAAGTAGTGTTTGGGTATTTTCATTTGATTAAAGACACACTACTCCATTTGATTACACCAGATTAAAATGTAGGCCTGTTATAACAAATTTTTAAGTTTGATACATTGATCTGAAAATATCACGATAAACCGTTAAACTGAAATTAATTTATACCTGTTTCAGGATCACCACCCTTTTCTAAGTGAATCATATGCAACAAATTTTAGCCAGTAATATATAAATAGCACAATGAAACACTAAATTAGTTAGTTCTGATCTATATTTGTTATGTTTATTAATTATGGGACCATCTATGACTGAAATGTCATCATATAGGCCTAAAAATAATGCATAGATTTAAGAAAAAACACCTCATCAACCATATATTGAGCAATAAGTTGATATAGTAATTATCATGACAGCCCTTTCAAAAGTGTGCATTAAATATACTCAATATTATCAAGGCCTTTAAATATTTGGAAAAATGTTGCATATTTGTATATACAACACAAGTGCAGCCTATTTGGAAACATCTGGGTCACAATAACACAAGCAGGTATTGATTTGTTTTGTCAGCATTACTTAGTGCAGTTCTCAAACTCATACGCAAAGCACCACAAAAGAGAAGATTCTGCTTTGCAAGTATCACCAGATCTAAATCATGTATATCACTGGAAAGTCCAAGTCTAATCTAGGGCTAAACCAGGTCTAAATTTGGACAACTGTAATCATTTCCGCTGTAGTTCTAAACAAGAAAAGTGGATAAAATTAGGCAAATCCAAAAAATGAAGAGATGTCCAAGTACTACGTGAAGGAGATCACCAACCTCCAATGCTATATATACCACAGTTTGAGACATACTTTAATATGATTTAATATTGTATTTGTCTTTTTGGGGCTTTTCCAGATGCTTGTCACTGCACAAAATATTACTATATATTAATTTAAAAGAATCACAACTGAAAAAAGCACAATTGTGTACCACGTGTAGTATTATCATTTCAACCCTGATACTGTAGTTTAAAATCTGATGCTTGACATTTCAATATCGCGTGCCATTTTTGTTATTGCGTTCAGTTTGCGTGCCTCATTTTTTATTTGAGCAACGACATGTACATTAAATATGACGTTCGGTGCTATTTTGCTCTATCTGACCGTGGCTGCTTGCGTCAGTCCACATTGTGTTGGCGATGCAGGTTACCACTGGAATGTATCAGGGCCTTCGAAGCTGAAAACAACCAATATATGACGGAGGGGCAGGGGGAGGGCTCTAGGTGGGAAGTTGCGCTAAACTATGACGCACAGTTCAACAAAGGGGAGTGGCCAAGGATGAGAGAGGAAAAAAAAAAAGAAAAACTGTAAAGCCAGGAGTCAAAGAGGGTGAGCGGCATGCAAGCTGACAAAGAGCTTCCTGTAGTGTATTTAGAAGGGTATAGGAGAGAGAGAGAGAGAGAGAGGGAATAGCAGAGGGTAAGAAAGAAGAGAGAGGGAGTAGAGGAGGAGAGAGTGGAGGGAGAGAGAAAGGGGAAGGATAGGGGTAAGAGAAGAGAGATGGTGAGGGGGTTCAGGGAGTAGAGACAGAGAGAGAGAAGGTGAGAAAGGGGAGGAAGAGAGAAAGAAAGAACGTTGGATAGAGGGGTGAGGCTAAAGAAAGATAGAGGGAGAGAGAGTATAAAGAGGTAGCAGGAGAGAGAAAGAGGGAGAGAGAAGAGCAAGGGAAGCCTGTGGGGAGAGAGAGAAGCGGGGGGGTGGGGGGGATTTGAGAGAAGAGTGAACTGCGGTAAACTTTGACTCCTGGCCTTCCTCCAGAGGGAGCAGTGTTTTAATGGTCGTGCTACGTGCAGAGCGTGAGGGAAGGTCTGATTCTCTGTCCCCCCTCCCCCCTCCCTTTCTCCAACTGCCGCTGAGACCATGACAGGCTAAAACATAGGAGAGTCTAACTGTACTACAGTAGGGCAGGGGGGGTGGGGAGGGGGCCGAAAAGAAATATTAAATTGTGCTTTGTTCTGGTAAGTATTGTGAATTTTTTTTATTTAAATTGAAAGACCAAACCATGCGTGGGAGTGTTAACATTTGCGCAGTATGAAATATGAACATGAAGCAATTAGGAACATGTTTGCAAAGGTAAAGTTTAGCAACTTTTATACAAAGGAAAGGGTTACTTCATTCACTGCAGAGCAAAAAATGGCCTTCTTAAATAACTGCAGCAAATTTGCAAAATGTTCCATCACTTGCAGCACTAGATGTTTTTTTTGTATGGTTAATATAACAATTCAACCTTCAGCCTATGCCCTATTTAATTCATTTCACAGATTCTGATTGGTGTATTTATTTCCAGTTTAAAACTAGATTCTGTGCAACATTTCATGATGAGGCTGGGTAGCAGACATGGACATCTCGATAAAACCTTTGCAAATTTGTGGAAATAATGAGGCCATAGCTGCAAAAAAAATCTGCAGGATTTCAATTTGAATGTGGTTAAGACTGAAAAAGATGGATGTCTAAAATGGCAACATCAATAAGCCACAGAGGAGTACAGAATGACTGGTATGAAAATCATGGTAATATTAGGATTTGGGATGTTACCACACAGACCAGGTTAGTCACAATGTTGTTTTAGGCAGGAACTATTGAATGTGCAGCTGGAATGTCAGTGGTATAATTTTACACCAGCAGTGGATGAAATGTAAATAGTAAAATATAAGGCTTCCAAAAACAGTTTACATAAGCATACAGTGAAAACATCTGTATACATTTAGACCATTTCTGTCATGCCAGAATCACGGTTTTGCATAATTTTATTATTATAAATATTTTTATTTTTTTTAGACATAATCAAAGGGCTTTGTAAAGAGTGATAATAAAAGCTACAAAGCTGAAAATGAATTATTAAAAATCAACCTAGGCATGCTTCAATCACACTTTGCTGTATACATCAAGCTAAATATACTACTACACAAATTATTGTAATTGAATTGAAATTACATTTTCAGGTGTCAAATCACAAAAGCTGCAATTAGATGATAGACCTGCGCTCTGGAAAGAACTAAATATCCTGTCATTATGGAAAAATCTAGCTGTACCCGCAGTTTAGACCTCTACAAACATTTTCGGAAATGCACGGGCAGTTGTTTGCTCATGTCTGACATCATAAACATTATAAACAACTCAAGAGTTGTTTGTGCAATCTGAACAAAGCATTACATTTTTTAAATATATTGCAAATCTAACCGCAATTGTAATACTTTGGGCAGTACTGCATTTCTACTAGTTAATGCACTGATTTGTCACAAATTAAAATTAAACACTAAAATATGACCAGGGATGCAGAAGTGAAAGCATTTTAGCACATTTCATAGGACTATACACTCATTTATATGTATTGCCCCATTACAATTGAGATTTAGTTTTACACAAGCACTGGCTCTAAAAAATGAATGTAGCAGCAAGAATAGTGTTTTAAAATGATTGCACTAATACTCACTCATATAAAAGATGATTCAATTTTGATTCACTGCTGTTACTAGAAATGTAATATTGTGCAGTGCTTATGCTTAGCCATTTAGTTCTGAATAACTCCATAAAGTTCATCACAGACTGAAACATTAGCTACATAATGTAATTACAATACAATACACTTTATTTGTAAATAGCACATTTTATAAACACTGCCACCAAGACTGGTAAAAACTATATTACTACTAATAAAGAAATAAAAATAATTTGACACACTGATTTTCCACTTGCTCTAGTCGTCTTAACCCTTGACCTTTATCCTTATCTGAGCTGGCTTTCATGGCCGGCAGTTCTTCCTCATTCCTGACCCCTCTGCTGTGTTGTGTGTTTGACTGCATTCCTCCAACGTGGCTTCTAAGGCCATTTGCACTGAAGAAGGATCCAGTTATTATCGAGTCACGGAGAGGTCAGAGCCAGGAAGTTTTCAGTTTGGCCCCAAAAAAAAAAAAAAAGAGGAGGGGGAGGGGCTATAAACACAAAAGAGAGTGAGTGAGGACTATTTACAACAGTGCTATGATCTACAGGGAAGTCACCAGGAATTTGACAGTTCTCGGGAATTAGTGTTTATAGAAAGGGGGATGTAGGGACATTTTCAGTCTATTGTGTATAGTAACAATCAAGTCATAACTAATGTAGTAAAGGTGAGAATAATGAACAAAGGTTTCAAGATTTACCACAACTGAATCAAAACTGTAATTTGAATAGTAGCAATTAGACAATTTACTCTGCAAATAACAAAATATCCTGTCTTTATATAAAAACATGCTACACCTGTAGTTTAGGTTTCAACAAACATGGGATTATTGTATTAGTTCGTGGTTCATATTTCACTCTTCTCTCAAATATTAAAGTTCCTTGGCGTCTTTAAAATGTGAACTTAAAATGTGAACTTTGAATAGAACCACATTGCACATCTAATCATAGTGTATGACAGAAAGATTTTTCTTGAAATAGTTCAGTACTGTGCAAATGACAAGCACAGAGCAAAAATAATTACTTCTGCCATGAAAAAAATCTGATACAAGAACTGTCAGTTACTAAATACAAATGAGGTTATAGAGCTACCAGTAATCATTTCAAAAATACAGCTATTACTCATTCAGAAAGAAGTATTGACAACATCGTGACTGGCCACATTGGTCTTTTTCAAAATCACTGGCATGCAAAAACAGTAACGGTCAAATTTAAGTCCTGCCACAGAAGCAAGTGAGCAAAAAAAGTTGGGCTGTACAACTCCACAATCTTCAATAAAGGCATGTGGTTTGGAGAAGAGACAGAGGATGTTTTTGTAAATGGCATATATTAAAAGTCCATCCTATTTATGTTCAGAAAGTTAATCCTGAAATCCATTAAAAAGTGACCAAAATATGATTGTTGCAGTTATATGCCACAATAAACTTAAGCACTTCAAGACTCTGGCAAAGAAACCCATTCTTCCATTGCTAAAATAGTAACATCTGAAAGTCTTGCCACAGAAGCCAGAGCAAAAGAAGTTATCAATATTGCATTGTTGTAGAGTTTTGAGCTATAATAAACGAAGCATTTTAACACTGGCAAAGAGACCCCTTTTTCCATGACTAAAATAGTACCAGTCTTATTCTGTGTTATTTTCACTGGTTGACCTGGGAAAACATTTGCATGCTGCAGATGGGATGTTGTGTTGAAGACAGCGTTATCTCCGTCACGTCAGGCATGCACCGCTGTTTATTTTTCTGACACAAGACCTCTCAGACATGTGCAAGTCAGGCTCAAATAAACCAAGCTCACACTAGATCAAGCCTGACAAGAGACAGGAGCATATCTGATAAAAGTGACATGAGCTTAGCACTTACTGTAAACTGACAAATCTCTAAGCCCACGTCTACAAACTTAATACTCCTGTGTTGTTAGTTACTGTTGTCGGGAGGGACTTTGGTAAGAAATGTCTAGGCTAACCACTGTTTTGAATATTGTGACAACAACACTAGGCCAATATTTAAATGCTTTCTTAGACAAAGGGCCTACTACATTAAATCATGTTTGTGTTAGCATGTGGATCAAGGTTGAATCTTTTTACAGTTATAGCTTAGATATCGTAAACATCAAATTCAACTTCAAAGTCTTAAAAAAAATCTTTTTAGTTGTGGTAAAACAAAAATCTCTAAGAATACTATATTAGTGACCACGTCTTGCATGAAATGGCAGGATTAAGATTTTTCATGATTGGGCCTTGAATCCAGAAAGAGAGAAAAGTTAAGCATCAAGTAGCAGCAAGTAGATTAGAACAAGGGTCCCCAACCCCAGGGTGATGGGTCGCCCCATACGTCGCGCAGAACGTGCCCCCCTCCCGTTTGTCGCACGGGTTGCGCCTCTAAACCAGGACTAAACCAGATCTAAACCAGGCCTAAACCAGATCTAAATCAGGTATAAACCAGGTCTAAATCTGGGTCTAAAAACAGGGTCCAAAGCAGGACTAAAACAGGATTTAGTCGGGATTTAACCAGGCCGAGCACAGTGCCTGCTCCCATAAACTGCCCTACCCCAACCCCCTCCTGTTTGCGAAATATTCTCCGACATAAAACCGGTCCGTGGCGCAAAAAAGGTTGGGGACCCCTGGATTAGAAGACATTATATTGAAGCTAATCCATCTGTTAAAAGATAATGCTCTATTATTGGGGCATTAGTGCGTCTTGAAATACCATACAACTTTAGGTAGTGAAATTAAGTGTGAACTCAAGCTATATAATTTGTGGTCAAATTTAAAGGTTCCAAGGAAATAAAGATAATTTGTTATATTTCACATCTCCTAATATATTTGTTCTTTGTTTAATCTGATAAAGTCTGAATTCAAGCAGATAAACAATACCAATAAGAAATTCCTCTACTTGAGTCAGGATATCCACTTGTGAAGACAAAGTGACTCAAAGTGAAGAGCCGGGAGTGTGGGAACCAGCGACCGGTGTCCTCCCTGGCCCGGGACAGTCCTGCTCTATCAGCGGGACAGTGCAGGGCCTACAGAGGAAATCCCTCTTTCAGCCAATGACCCACTTATTTCTTTTCTTCTTTACAGTGTACGTGAACAATAGGGGGGCATATGGGACCCTAAATATGCTGCGTACTGTAGAGGAAATGTGAGCGGTCACTGGTCACGAATGCATCTACAAAGAAAATGCGATTAGGCGGGTGTCAGAAGCTTGCCTACGTCTGTGGTTGGCAAAAAGATGAGTAAGACATGTAAAGCTTTTGTGCAAAGCTATAAGAAAACCAACTTACTGAACATGGAGGTTAAAGCACTCAGCAATTTGTGAGTAAAATGCTGTTTCAAGCAAGAGGGGGCTTGTTAAATATAAAGCAATAACCCCAAGAGCAATGGGCTCCATGAGGAACACTCTCTGACAATGGCGTTAAATTATTCATTAAATCACATTTAATCAGGGCAAGGTTTACAAATGCATGCCCTTGGACCGTGAAAGGAAGTCAAAGAGACCACAGACTCCAACCGACGTGCTAAGAGTAAGGTACTACAAACATATTGGTCTCTATTGACAAAAAAAAAAATCATTCTAGTTAATAGTAGGTTTAACTAAACTAAATTAATAAATAGAAAGGATAGGGCTGAACGGTGCCAAAAATTGCATAATGGTTTGTGTCTTTGTATTTATCGAACAAAAACATATAGCTAGTTCATGAACATAAACAATCATTTCAAATTAACATTTAAAAGTGTATTGTG